CAAATACGCCTCTCGAATAGCTTCACGACCCACAACATTCACATGCAAAGTGGACAAGAGGTATGAGCATTGGCTTAGTGCATCAGCCACTTGATTCTGATCCCTTGACAGGTGACAAATAGTAAATGTGAACTCTTGCAAGTGGATCACCCACTTTGCATGTCGTGCACTAAGGTTCTTCTGACTGTTGATATGCTTCAATGCATCATTAGAAGTGTATACAATAAATTCTCGTTGCACTAAATAATGTCACCAATGTCTTAGGGCTTGGATGACTATATAAAACTCAACATCATACATGGCATACTTTTCATCGTGCTTCATTGAGTTATTCATTAAAGAAAGCAATAGACATTCTTTATTGATTGAGCCCTACACCAATCCCCATATGTTGAAAACCTTCCTGAAAGTTGGCAATGCAAGCACTAGAGCATTTGTCATCTTCTCATTAACGGTGTCAAAAGTTTTACTTGCAGATGGGGTCCAATGGAAAGCTTCACATTTCAAGCATTGATTGGGGCTATGGTAGTGCTGAAATTTCTAAATAGAAAGCAGCAAGTCCATGAAACTACGCACCTTTACATTGATTTTGGAACCGGCAATTCCACTATGGCACACACTTTCTTAGGATCAACCTTCACCCCATCTCAAGCCACAATGTAGCCTAAAATCACTAGGTTATTGCTCAAGAAATTACACTTCTTGAGATTGACTCATAACTTCTCAGCCCTCAGCACTATTAGTATATGTTGCAGATGGTCAACATGGGCATCAACATTCTACACAAGTACATCATTGTAATAAACCACCACAAAATTGCAAATAAAAGGTCTAATACCCATTACATAATGTGCATAAATGTTGGAGGTGCATTTGACAAGCCAAAAGGCATCACCAACCACTGATACAGCCCACTCTTTGTCTTAAAAGACGTCTTCTACTCATTTTCTTAATGTATGAGAGGTTGATGATAGACGCTTCTCAAGTCAACTTTCAAAAGTATTGTAGTTCCAGCCAGCATGTCAAGCATATCATCCAATCGTGCAATAGAGAACAGATATTTGACTACCTTTTTATTAATAGCCTTCTTGTCTACCACATTCTCCATGATCCATCTTTTATGGATAAGCAAAGCCAATACAATAGCACATGGACTTATGTTAAACCTTGTAAGCTCCTTTGCCAACAACTAATCCACCGACAACTGAAGCTCAGCTTGTTCTTTAGAACTAATTTAATAGGTTGGCATTTAAGTAAGTTCGATGCAGGTACGAGGTCTATAGATTGTTGCATATTTCGCATAGGTACCAGCACGTAACTCATCTGGCACCAAATCCTCAAACTCCATCAAAAGTGGTTTAAGGGCTTCGGGTACTGAAATAGACAAGTGCGTAAATCTAACCGGTTTCCTCACTCTCCTCCATAAACTGCCAGAGTGCAAGATGAATCACGCCCTCTTCTTTGGAAGATTTAGTGAAGTCTCCATACGAAAGGGCAATAATATACACCTTGTGAACATCCTTTGCAAAAGGAGCACCCTTATGGATGGTTTTGTGGTCATATTGCCAAGGACGTCCTGCAGTATGTGGCAAGCATCCATTAGTGTGACATCATACCAAACTTCATCCTTATAAAAACAGCCAATAGAAAACTTAATCAAGCACAAAGCAATAAAAGGTACCTAAACGTTGCATTTGAACAATGCAACCGTGTAAATACGTGGATGCTTTCAGATTCAATGTTGCATGCTTTCCCACCTTGAGATATAACTTGTCTGCCATCTCTTGACAGACCATGTTCTCGCAACTTCTATTGTCTGCATACTATCATTACACGTACATTGGGGGTCAAATATACTAAAGTCTTTACTTTGCCAAACTTCTTCTTGGGGTGCACATGGCACTGAGAGAACATGTTGAACCAAAGAGATCTTCCCATGATCGGCCACCACTTCATCAACTTGATCATCGATCTCATCCTCATTTTCAGCAGCAACTACTGGGTGTTCTTTGTGGTCCACCCCTTGTTTAGTGTTGTGCACTACCTAATTGACATGGTGTTGGGCTGTAGTCAACAAACACTGCGTGGCTCGGTGCCCCACCTCATTACACCTAAAACACCCCAGACTAGTAGCCTTTTAGGGTCGAGTTCGAGCTCGGGTACAAGTAGCTAGGTCATCCTTTGCTATAGAGACTCCCCCGGGTTGGAGCCATTGGCCTCCCAATTTATGATGATTTCGCTGTAAGAATGGGTCAGTGGTGGTTGCCCCCTTTCTTTGTCATTCCTCTATCTTCAAGGTAGCTTGATAGGCTACCTACAACCCGGCTAATGATGAAGAACGAGTTCATCTTGGATCAAACTTAGCAATTGATAAACATAATACACCACCTTTTGGTCCTTGGTTTCTGCTAACCTACGACAGAAGGATAAGCAGTAGTACTCCTAATACTTCTGAACAGAGTTTGTACCTTGATGCAACTAGTGAAAGTGTGAAACTATCGATACAATGTTTGTGCATAGCTTGGCGGAGAAATTGCTCAAACAAACTTGCCTTCATCTGCGCTCGTGATCTGATTTTATCTTTTCCCTTTAGAAACCGCTTCTTGAACTTGATCCCACCACACTAGTGAGCCGTAAGTTTGACCTTCTATGAATTGGACAAATCTTTCCAATCAAAGAAGCTTTTGTAAAACTCAGGGGGGGCAAACTTTCATACATAAATCAATGCCAATCACGTGATTCCTTCATGTTCGCTCCTGTACGCCAATCATGTCGGACTTGGCTTGGTCTGCAAACTGACTGTCCATCAAATCCACACTCTCATTGATGCCTTTGCGCATCGAATTCAATTGGAGGATCAAACATATCATAAACCCACTCCGACCTAGATTCGAGCTTGATTCACAATAATCTATATTAAACCCTCACAATTTGGATCCAACATTGCAGAAACCTATCCATTTGGAGCACCTTGTTGTTGATCTCTCTTTGCAGCAATAGTATAACCATCTCCAACAAGTTGTCGAGCCCTCTTTCATTCAGTCTAGTTCAGCATTCCTTCAGCCATAACATCCACAATAGCCATCCTAGTCATTAACCATCTTTAAACCAGGCTCTAATACCAATTGACTCTTCTTCATTCACAAAAATACTCTTCACAAAAGAAATATCAACTCTAAGTCTCTAAGGGGGAACATCGCTCGTTTAAATAAAAGTTAAAAATATACTTGCAAAAAATATTTTTTATCTCTCTCTCAAACTCTCCTTCCATTCACGTGATCACGCACCAAGAATATCCTGAAGTAATCTTCAACTCACACGATCACTCCCTCTCTCTTCCTTTCCTAAAGAGATAAAACTTTTCCATAAAGAAAGCATCCTAAACAGATTCAAACTTACCCTAAAAAAGTAAGATTTCATTAAATTACTACTCTTGTCCCCATGCTAAATAAAATACCATCTTACTCCCCCGAGGCTAATATTTCCAAATTAAACAATTAAAAAATTTCAGATGCATCCCTGAAGCACCCACTAAAAATTATAAAATAAAAAAATTCCCATCTCCTTGAACTTAATTTTGCATCACATTCCCTTCTCAAATCAGTAGGAAAGCAAGTGCATCCAGGAGTTTAGATAGGACACACAGCACTCGTGCTTGTTTTAGTACAAGTGCAAATTACATCCTTGCAATCCCACAGCATGGCCAAAGACATTGGAGAAGATGACATTCCATAGACTCCAGACAGAAAAAATATCTCCCATATTTCTCTGTAAGGCCCCCAATATATTCACTATCATGGGCTTTGACAGTACTGCTAACCATGCAAAGCAAGCTACAAGAGGAGGAATGCCAATCAAACATCTTTAGCCAAGAAAGAAACATTTACCCAGACCAGCAACATATTATAACATGAGCAAGAAACAACAGCAAGTGGTTGGCTGCAAAATTACCAACATTTCATTTATCCAAGATCTAAGCCTTTCTAAAGCACCTGCATACAATACAAACTATCCCCAAGCAAACCAATTAGAATACTCTAAGAATCATTGCTAACCATCATGTGATTACCAATCAACAACCCAATAATCATTGCTATGCGATGCTACTCGAATAAATAAAAGTGGGAGTATCATCACCAGCAATTCAATTTACATGCTATGGTGTAACTAAGGTATTATTTGGGCATTTTCAAAATTATTCATTCATCTTGTACTGCTCATACAAACTACCAATTCTCATAAGGGTTTCCTGTCTTAGTTGTAAGTATTCCCCAAACATACAATACGAACAGATTATGAAGGTCGTCAACAAGGTCCCTCAAATTACTCCAAAGATGTAATATCCAATATAAAAGAAATAGAGAAGGAGTTAAATTGTTGGACAACCTCCAGGGGGCATAAAATTGGAACCACTAGTTCTTGTCAGCAAGAAAGGCGCATCAAATTTTTTGGAGTCAAGCAAGGTTCAACTGCTCAAATCTTTCATGAATCTCAAGAACAAAGGTAAAATTCTGAGAATTTTATATCATAGAAGGTTTATTCCACCATTGTTCACCTTCAACCCAGTTTCATAGATTCTGGTGAAGAATTTCAAGAGTTATGAATTTGGGCATAGGTTTTGGAGGAGGTAACGGTTCAGCAGTAATTTGAGTGTAAGTTTTGGGGACAGGTTGGGTCTGTTGTCGACATTTGGATGGAGGGGAGGGGGGGAGCTACTGGTTGCTTCTAAGCTAGGTTGAGAAGAATACTTCGAGGGTAGATGGTCTAACGATAATGGCTTTAGAGGGGGGATGATTCTAGGGATCCTTTTCCTTTCATGGCAAGCTAAAACAGAGTATATTCCACACAGACCACATAAAACACTATCCTGCTCATACTACACTCAGTAACATGAAATAAACATGTAACCTGGGATCTCCACACCATTCATTCCAGATTAGTTAATAATTATTACTTAAGTCTCTTTAGTTAATAATTATCACAGGATGAAATGAAACTACCTCATGAAGTGCACTAATAGAAAATAATCATCCAGGCAGTCAAGGGACAAAGAATAATCAGATCCAGGAACCTTCAGTGTATGTCTTTACATGAACCAGGATGAGGGGCTTGTGTTTAAGGCAGGTGTACTGCATTCCAAGCCAACCGTCTCCGATGAAGATTGCATAGCGACAACATATAAGTAGTGTTAAAAATAATTGAATAATATTTAATAAAGGAGAATTGCAAAAGTGTAAGCATGAAATATGTCAATCGATCAGAAGTGATCAAGGTAAATCATACCACTTATTTAGAACAGAGGATCACATGAAATTTAACACATAATTTATCAGGAAAATAAGCTCATGAATAGCTCGATTACCCTATGCAACAATGATTCTCAAATGATAAAGTAAGAGTTAGGCCCGCCACCAAGTTACCCATTAAGTATTAATCACCACCTATATGTGTATTCCTTGAAGAACAGACCTCATAAATGAAAACTTAAGCCCATGGGGTAGTACTTGTGGTTCCAAGACTTGCTAACACTCTCTAAGAGCACAACGAAGAAAGCCTATATGACATATGAAAATACGCAAATACCAAACCAAATAAAGAATCAAAGGGAAACCAAAGGCATCAGTGGCCTGATCAAAGTGACTGCAACTAAGAAGGGCACAAAAAAGAAGAAAAGGAATTTTAGAAATAGAGAGAGATAGAACTGCACAGTACCCTGCTTCCTTAGGGCGTCCCTCTAACCAGATGACGCTGCCATTGCCATCAAGGGCCATACCACCCAGGCGTTTCTCTGCACCAGCCACAACATCAGCAGTGATGGGGGACTTCCACGACCCATAAGGGGCTATTATGGTATTGGCAGAAGCAGTAGCCATGCTCCTACTGCTAATGCTCCTGCTACTGATCTGGTGGTGATGATGCCTCTGCTCCTTTGGTGGTTGAAGAAACAAGGAGAGGGGGATGAATCCACTGATGCTACAATTGCTACGAAAGGGAAAGAAGCGGAAGGAGCAATGGAGAGAGTATGATAGCGTCGTTGATGATGCAGTGAGAGTGAGACGCAGCGGGGTAATGGCAACGAGACTCTGCATAGCACAACAAATCGGTAGGGGCGGCAACGACTGCACAAATACGGTGCCGCTCGATATACCACTGATTTCCTAGAAAATATCGGAGGTGCCCTCATTTACTTCTTTTTTTTCTTTTTTTTTCTTTTTAAAAAAAAAATATACTGCAGACCTAGTGTTTTGAAAACCAACCCCAAAAGGATCAGAGGCTGAAATTTACTTAAAGAAATAAAGTTGCAATAGCTTAGTTAGACGATGTAAATTTGATACCCCTTTTAAGACAAATTTAACGAGTAGTAGCCTTTTTTTTTTGGGTAAAAAAATAGTACATCTTTTAAGATAGTGCAAATCTACATCGTCTTAATAAAATATTTGCAACCTTATATAAATATTTTCCTAAAAAATAAGTTTGAAAAACAACCTAAAAATGTATGGGATATGCCTTCCTTTGCGGAAATACTTAAAATAAATAGTGTTTCAAAACCAATTGATTCGAGTTAGCTTTAATGAATTATTTAACCGACTCGCGTGCTGATTTCTAAATTAGCCAACCATATTACTGCAAAATGTGGCTTGTAGCTTCCTGTTGCGACACATGGGCATCTAGCAACTGTGTAACATATGAAATATCAAAAAGCTTAGTGGGTGCTTGCGTGAGGCTTTAATCCTATCGAGTTTGGCTTACCTCATTCATGTACGGCCTCTCTGTTCAGATATTTTTGCTCATGTAAATAGAAAATATATTATACAATCTAGAACCTACAATATTTTATTCATAAAAATAAACATATGGTTGTGTATAGCCATATTGGATTGGTAGGCCAGCATATTAAACGCCTACAATGTTCATAAATACCAACACCAATCGGTATCTATGTAACATTGATCAAAACTAAAACTTAAAAAAGATAGTGTACTTATTTCTTAGAAACAAAATTCATTACCTCATTCCAATGACATCAAAATCGTTATTATCATCATCTCCTTATGTATCTCCTAATGCATCTCTTCATATAATTCCTACAAGTTCCTCATTTACTTGTTCACCTCCTCCTCCTCTGTGTGTTGATTCCACCTTCTTCTTTTTCCTTCTTGCTCATGAGGCCCATGTCTTCCTATTAAGAAGCGACTCCCCCAGTTTTATCAACCACTATTAAGTTGGATCCTTCATAATTCAAGGTCCAAGTTTATTGGTTATAATCCATATATTTCCTTCTGCGTTGCCACTTTTGGAGGTTTAATTTATAGTAAAGGTAGACAACATTTTAAATCCTAGCAGTAGCGTTTAGAATGCTCTTTAATTTCATGTAAACCCCAAAGTACAATGAATTTGGGTGGGTACATTGGGCATTATAGTAACTCCACCTTGTCTAGTCCCAAGTCAATCATGGTTATCCTAAGCCTGAAAAAAGGATGACATATTTGTTAGGTAGGGCTGTCAGCACACAGTTTTGTCACATCTTTTCATGAATCTTGAACCTCAATAGGAGATAAGATGAGGGAAAGTAAACCTGGGTGGGCTGGTTAGGAAAGGCAATTTAGTTCTAGTTGAAGTCTCTAAAAGGGAAAGGGGAAGGGCCAAAATGACATGGATAGAAGTAGTGAGAAGAGATATGTTGATTTATTGTTTGATTGAGGGTATAGCCCTTAATAGAGCAGAATGGTAGAACACGTGTAGCGGACCCCCAATAGTTTGGATAAGGCTCGAATGATGATGATGACATTGGGCATTACATTCTATAGTCCAGATTCTCTAGAGCCATGAATTTCCACTACTTGGCTGACAAAAAATGAGAAAGAACTTATAAGAAAGATCTTAAATGGCACTAAACAAAATTAATGATAAAAACTCATAAAAAGCACTTTCTAACTGAGCTCGATCTATTTGGTTGTGAGATTTCTTGCAAGGTTTGTTGCAACAATTTCCGTGGACATCTATTTAGACAAAAAAATGAGAAAAAAAAGAGCAAGATTTAGTGGTTTTGACTTCAAAAAAGTTGTAATTGTCATTATTTGCTCTCTCCTATGCAGAACCTCTTGCTACTATTCTACCTTTAACTTCCCTAGCACTTTGAGTCCTTAGGATAGGGGGAATCCACCTATTAGTTCAAGCCAACCATCTTATTAAGTCCTAATAACGAGCTCTAAATAGATTCCAAGGACAAGATTTGGTACCTTTTTGCTAAAATTAGTGTTTCAAAACAATTTATTTATTGCTGGTTCACTTTTCCTTTTGTGGAATCTTAATACCACTTCATTTTCTCCTCCTATCTTTTTGCTTTAATCGTATTTGCTTTTAATTGTGCTTAGGCCAAGGTTGCCGCACCTTACTTTTTCCCTCTACCCCATGGGCCACGTACTTCGTACTAAGCAACATCCTCTCACCAAATGTCTCTCTCCCTCCACCATTTGACACATATCCTGCTTCCCATTAAAATATAATTTATCTAGTATATAAACTTTGGTGAAGAGGGAGAGAGAAGATGAAGAGAGTGCTACAAACTTGGAAGTGGGTAGCCAAAAAGCAGAAATCAAGGACTCATGGAAGTGGGGCATGAGGTTTTTAAAGAAACATTGAACTTTCTCTATCATAAAGTTTGTATTCTCTCTCTAGTAAGAGATAGTGAAGCACTAGCCTCGCGTAATTTAAGGAATATTTTCTACTTATTTATTATTTATTTTGGCACAAGATGATCATGCATGTACTTCATTACCCAACTAATGTTTGATTATATCGATTGGACAATGATTTTCTAGTGAGAGAGATGTTTATTTCCAATTGATGTTCATAGTATCATACCAGTTGGAAAAACATATTAGATATATAGATTACGGTTTTGTACGGGTCTTCTGAGTGTGCAACTCAGAGACTCAAGAATTTATTTTCGATATGGCTGTATGTACTCGACGAGACCCATTTGCACCTCAAAAATTTACCGCGACGGGGGCGTTTAACACTTCAAAGAAAGCGAGCTCCTCTTGTGCCTCCAAATCCCTTGATTTTAAGTTCCGTGTTTGGGATTTCATGTCCACTATGATGTTTGGTAAACCACGGTGAACCCCCATAAAACCCACAATTTCGAAGTGTTAAATGGAGGTTTTTTTTTTTTCTTCTAGAGATGTTTATTAATGACTCGCTAAAATATAAGGACCAAGATTGTGTAAGGCCAGACTTCGGATCTACTCTACCACTTTGTTTATCCTCCGAATCTGGCTCTAATTCCTATGGAAGGTTGACTGGTATTAGGAGTGCTTCGATGTTCAGATATAACTTCTAAATCTGGCTCCGATTCATATGGAAGTCCAATTGGTATTAGGAGTGTTTTGGTACTATTCAAGCACAATCCCGATCTAGGGAAGGTACTGTTGATTTTTCCTGGGATTTGAGATAGTAAAGCTTATGGAGCATCAGTTAGGCTCATCAAGCGTAAGTAAGGCTTATGGAGCGTCAGTCAAGCTCACCAAGAGTTAGTAAGGCTTATGGAGCATCAGTCAGGCTCATCAAGCATAAGCAAGGCTTATGGAGCATCAGTTAGGCTCATAAAACTGATGTAAAGCTTATCGAGTGTCTGTCAGGCTCATTAAGTGTAAGTATGGAGCGTCAGTCAGGCTCTCAAGCGTAAGTAAGGCTTATGGAGTGTCAATCTATCTCATCAAGCGTAAGTCAAGCTTATGGAGTGTCTGTCACGCTCATCAAACATAAGTGAAGCTTATGGAATGTAAGTCAAGCTCATCAAGTATAAGTAAGGCTTATGGAGCATCAGTTAGACTTATCAGACGTCATACTTGTCAATTGTGGGTCAAGTTATCGAATGTGCGTCAAGCTTATCAATTGTGTGTCAAGCTTATCGACTGTGCCTTAACCTATCGACTGTGCGTTAAGTTATCGACTGTGCGTAAGGTTATTGACTGTAATTAACACTATCGACTGGAAGTCAGACTCCTGACTGTAAGTTAGACTATTGACTGTAAGTCAGATTATGAATTGTAAGTCACTATCAATTGTAAGTCAGATTATGGACTATAGGTCAGATTATTAATTGTAAGTCAAATTATGGACTGTAAGTCAAACTATCAATTGTAAGTCATATTATGGATTGTAAGTCAAAATTTATCGATTGTAAGTACGAATTTATCGACTATAAGTCAGATCTATTGACTGTAAGCCAGACGCTATCGACCGTCAATTAGGTCATTGACCATCAGTGAGGTTATTGGCTATTTGTCAAGCTATCCATCGTCTTTCAGGTTACCCATCGTCTCTCAGCATATCAATATCGAAGAGTTGATCAAAGAGATTAATATTAGAAGATCACTGAAAGTTTAGATTTGGTCAAGCGAGATCAGTTCTGAGGATGTTAGTCATTTAAGATGGCAGCAAAGGTTCCAATTTCTTTGTAAATTGGAAGGTGTGTTATGTACAGACCATTAAAGTCTGTCTGCTTGCATATATTAGTTGACTTATGGATTGATCCAGTCACCTGTAGATTTTCTGTAAACTTCGAAAGAAGTAAAGGCCTTAGGCTTATGTGACTGATGTATATTGTTTGTTATGATCTTCGATGTCAGTGTAGTAGGGGATGATTTAAAGAGTCAATATTAAAGCTTGTTTTTAGGACCT